ATTGATAAAATTATTGTTGTTGAGCTGGGGAAGAGAGCGAATGGAACTGGGAATACGATGGCGATTAGCGCAAAGCCAAAAGGTTGCAGTTGCCCACTGACCACTGCGKGGCGACACAGTAGCCGGCGAAAGCTGCTCCACTGCTGGCAGGCACTGTGGCTGTGCCTGTGCTGCTGGGGCAACTGCCCCCTCAATGCAACGCATGATGAAAATCAGCGACTCGCAATTGGCAACGAGCCGAGGGCTTGGACCTCGATACGAATTGGGATTGGAAGTGGGATTGTGATTGGGATTTGGCTGTGGATTCGAGCTAGGTGGCATCGCAGTTCTGTTGAAATTTATTTCAATTTCATTTGATATTAATTGCGAATGGCTTTAAGATTGAATTCCAATGTGACCATTTTTGGGCTGTGCCTTACAAATGGCCCCGTCGTTCGCACTCGACCTCCTCACGGGGGCATGTTGTCGATGTTGTCCATGTTGTCCGGAGCGAGCGAGGTCTTGTTACGAACGCAGCATTTTGTTTGGTTGTTTGTCGTTTGGCTGTTCAACACGCTGGCGCCACAAACAATTTGCTACAAATAAGGCACCGACTAGAGTTTTTGGGATTCGAATTGGGATTGGGCTGGGACTGCGCCAATTCGCCCGCACAAATCTCTGACAGTTGAACGGGAGCAGCCGCTGCTGCGACTGTTGCTGCTGTTTGTCGTAATTAGCAGCAACTGCAACTGCAACTGCAATTGCAATTGCAATTTGGTTAAAGTTATTTCATTTGACCATTTTGGGCTGTGCGAAAGTTCAGCCTGGCCTGGCCGAGCCTGGCAGGGGCTGACTTCCATGTGGACTTTCCAAACGGCAACCCACACGCTGACACAATTAAGCCAAACACATGTCGCCGCACGGTCAGATAAGCCATTTATTAACTTTTCACAAGACTCTAAATGATGCCATAATCTCCGCATACGGTTAGACATATGAGAGAGCTTCAGCTATCCGCAGCAGCAGAGCGCAGCGCAGCGCAGGAGATGCAAAGATATAAATAAGAAAGGGTTTGCGAGACGGCTGACCGAATTGAGAAGCACACTAACTCAATGTGGGTTTATTTAAATTATTATATTTGAAATAAAATTGTT